TTGATTAGATCGTCACAGTTGCAACAACAATCAGCGAAAATAATTAAATGCATTCAAGCATTTTTAATTGTTTGAGCTTAGGTGCTCTTATGTTTGGCTAATGTGTGCATTAGCTATGATGTGGGAAACTCGTCACCTCAGCACTGTAGATTTGAAATATGAGTTTGTATTATTTCAATTTGCTCTGTTCATGCTCGGCTTGTCGTTCTTGTTTTTCCAGTTGACCCAAGGGGGAAATATTAATATGTATATATATATTTATATACATGCGTTTAAAATGAATACAAATGGAATTTTAATTCAATTAAAGCAGAGCGACGTATTATCAAATTGAAATCTGTATTATTAATATCTAAAGAGAAAGAATTAGTATCCGTCCCCAGCTTTAAGTGGAAAATAATCAAAAATCAATGATTCCAAATATTTGTCATAGGAACTTCTTCTTCGATTCAGACAATAAAATATGTGCAGAACGCCGTCCATAGTTAACTAATGCGAGTAGCTAATAAATAAAACTAAAGCAAATCGAAAAATGTTATTATTGGAAGCGAGTCTTTTGTTTAGCGAACAATGCAATGGAAACAATTTCAAAGCATACTCATAGAGAAGACCTTTAAAAGCCTGCCATGCTGCTGCCAGAGTGCAAACAAAGGTGTCAGGGAATTCTTCGGCTACGTGAGGCAAACAACCCAACACACAATAAAAAAGAAAACAGGACCATTTTGATGGCAAACAGCGGAGCAACAAAAAGGATATCGCGTGCCAAAAAATCAGCATGTAAACAGAGCGCAGCAGAGCAGAGCACAGAAGACAAAGGTATAATGGTGACTACGAAAAAGCTTTCAGCAGTGCCCCAACGATTGTCCATTCCATTCCATGCAATTCCATCCCCAAAATGAGTGAGCGATGTGAGAAATGATTCTTCCTCCCCGTTTTGAAAGCTAGCCTGGCCTTTCTCTGCTTTGTTTTATTTTATTGTGATTTTATGTTAGTTGTTTTGTTTTGGCATATTGGCAAATATTAGTTTCATACTGTCATAGCAAATGGTGTGTGTTGATTTATAGTAGTATACAGACGTAGTAGACTGTGCTTGCGCCTATAAATGCATAACTACTCGTATGGGGTTATTTCCGTTTCTAGCATATGTTACATATTTCAGTATGCCCGGAATTCAATTGAATAGCATTTACAATTATGTTATGTGAGTCATTTTGTGTTTGTGATATAAAATCAAACCTAAAGGATATTAATCGTAATCAGAGCTTTAAATAATTTTGTATAGATTGGAATTGTTTATTGGAAATATTTATCTGTTATACAATACATGTAAGTCTGTCATGTTTTTGTTATGGTATATGTATAGGATTCATTCAAAGACATTTTAATTATTGTAAATAAACTTATGTAATATTCATTTCAATTTCAGTTAAAAGTACCCTTAATATAATATTTAATAATTATAGGTCGGTAAAATGTCCATATATCTGTTTTAGTTTGGAAGCTGAAAAATAAAAAGTTGAATAAATTTAATATAAATTTAGATTAATAATACATTTAAATTAGTAATAAGTTTTTTTTTATTAACCTAAGCTTGGTAATAAAATATTCTCTTATTATCCTTAGTCAATGAAAAATCAATCGAAATCAAGTTTAAAGTTTCCGTTTAAACGTTTAAATCTGAAACACCATGCCGAGCTTTCTCACGTTGCATAAGCCATCTGACGGATTGTGTTTGCCCCTCACACAAAAACATATCAATTAAATTCAATTAAATTCGAAAAACCACAAGCCAAGTGCATTCGTCTTGGGTGGGCGCTTAACCTTATCGCACACTGTCAGTGGAGTTGCCATTGGAGTCCAGCCAACGTTCATTGTTCTGCACTTGGCCTGCCCCGCACTCGGCTGTCAATCTTATTCTAATTGAAATGCACACAACCTCTGCGTCAGCTCACAAATTGACTTTTACGCACAAACAATCGAAATTGTAAGGCTCTCTGGCAGGCGCACAATTATGGGTTACACCAGTTTACAAATTTTCAGCTTGGCTCGTTTGGATTCGGATTTGCTGATTTTAATTGCAATGAAGCACCAAAAGATATGAATGTAATAATATTTTTGTTTTCAAATTGCATTCACTAAAGTAAAAAATTATTACTATCCCATAATACCTTGGCAACTAAAAGAAGGAAAGAATTTGAGTGTAGACTAGTTTTATGAAAATCAACAAGTTAGCTGCAGCAATTGGGCTGCATATCGGCTGTCGAGCTCTTAATTCTACTCTCATTTAAGCCACACTGCAGAACATTGCAATTTCATTGTAATTTCGCATTCCAATTGACTGCCGCACTTCAGTTTTCCTTCCTTTTTTGTTTTTTTTTGAGCTAACAGACAATGAACTAGCAAATCCTAGTCACCGGATAATTGCTCTGCTTTTTGGCATGCTTGGAATATTCCTCATTTTTGTTTTCGTGCTGTAAAAATTGCAGCTCGCAAGGACGCTTAATTAATTAAAAAAGTTTTGCACCTTTTATAAATATTCTTTTTCTGCCGCTAGCGTAAAAATGTAAAAAATTTGTATTTCGCACACTTGGGTTGAGTTTATGATAAATTAGCACGGTTTACTCGCATGCCTTGTTAAAATATTTGAAAATATTTAAATTGACATTTTTTTTTTGTCGGGTTTCTGGTTTGCATTTTTTTCACGCCCATATTGTGAATATGAACAATGTCAATTTGTCGGCAAGCAGCCTTAGGGCGAAAAGGTTAACATCGTGACGTTACGTATATAAATATATATACATTTTAATGAAAATTCCCGTGACCGCCAATGAAAAAGAAACGATTGCGTTTAGCAGTCGGCGACTTTAAATTTTTTCGATGTCAATTTGCATGCCGAACACCTTTAGTTCTTATTTGTAGAATGCTTCTCGTCCATGTGAGCAATGCAGGGGTACAACTAATCAAAACAAATTCAATTAAACAGCATGAAATACGAAGTAGCCAAGTGGCGGCCTGTTCAAGCCAAAGTAGAAGGAGAGACAGAAAGACAGCCAGACAGACAGACGGACAGACAGGCTTTTGCATGAGTTTCTTATCTGGCAGCACAATCCATTAAAATTGCACATCGTTTACACCAAAAATCAATTCGCCAAAGCATTTAGGCATTACAAATGCTATGCCAGCCACTGGCTAGCTATACGAGTAGAGACAGCCAACACGAGAATCGTCGACAGAATCCTCGTCCTCATTCACACTGCACGCCGCTTTGGCCAACAGTCGTAGTTGGCCCGCTTCAAAATGAACGTTGATGGCCATAAATTTCATATACGGCGTTTGTGTTTTTTGGTTTTGTTTGTTCCTGGCTGCTGCCGTTGGTTGTCGTCTGCCCTCTACAAAGCGATAAACGCAGCACAAGCACAGCACAGCGCAGCGCAGCGGAGCTTATAAAGCCTCGCTGTTCATTCACTGGATACTGCTTTGAAATAAGTCCGCCAGATACTGGGATACTGGTGCATAGCTACGTTTCGGAACAAGCACGAGTCGTCTGACATTTGTACGGTCTGTTTGTTGGCTTAGAATACTGGGATTGGAATTGAAGCCGATAAAAACGAAATAAAGGCAATTTAAGATTTAAGTGCACTAATCGACAGGGCCTGCACTTTAAATACCCTGTAGTTCAGCATTATTGCTTAATGCTAAAGTTTCTATACATGGCAATGGCTTCTTATCAATATCCTCTTGTATATCCTCTTGTATAGATATGAGCTATTAAAAACGAGAGTAATCCATGTAAGGAAACCCCTATGATGCATGTTCTTTAACCACCAATCGATATATTGAGCATATATTCTGTCTCTCTCTCTCTCTCTCTCTCTCTCTCTCTCTCTCTCTCTCTCTCTCTCTCTCTGTTTCACTTTTGGTATTTAAAATTCAACATGGAAGCAACTCTAGTCTGTCAACATTAGCGTATCGCATGGAGCTGCTATCAGTGTCATTCCAACATGTCCCACAACAAATTATGTTTGTCGCAAAGAGGAATATCCCGATGGACGTTGCATATGCAACAACAGCAACAACAGCGACAACAACAACTATAGCAACAACAATCGCATTAAATGCTTTTGCTGTGGCATATGGTGGTTGCGATGTCAGGTTGCGCGCGTTTCATTAGTGGCACCTAAAACAGCAAGATGAGATTAGAGTCAAGCGACGACAACTGAAAGTGTGGAATCCCAGAAAGAGCACGTTAGGCCGATGAGTTATGGCATGCATTAATGCGCACTAAAATCAGACTCAATGCTAAGCATATTATGCAATGCATGCGTACAAGGTTTTTGCTGATATTTGCTTATCATTTTTAACTGTTTTAAATTATTTTTCATCCGAAATGAGTTAACGAGATTTGCTTTATGCACATTTCCTTGCCTTGGCCTTGTATCGATTGGTAGCACTGGATACGATTTAGTTTCTGCGGGACATGTCCTACTAAATCTGAAGTCTTCAATTTGTCGTTTTGTTGCTCACTGCAGTTCGGTCAGCCTGCATAAATTACCCCATCCACAGAGTAGAAAGTTGGGAGTCAAACTTACATTGTTTGCTCCCAAGGAAACAAATAATGTTGGGCATATTAGATATAACATGTTGCGCCTGCTTCCATTAATAAAACAAGAACAGATGAACAAACGCAAAGTTTTGTATATTTCATCAGGAGCATCCCTTGCCAACAAGCCGAAGATAAATTGTTTTTGTTCATGATTTATATAAGTAAAAATTTGGTATACGGAAGCCAATAAAAACAGGGCATTGAACTGGCAGCAGTTCGCTGAAGCTACTCTTTAAACACACTTATATTTGGCTTTATAAGAAAAATAATACTGAGTGTGGATTTGCCCCCAATTGTTTTGGTATTATTTAAAAGCTAAGACCAAATACAAATGATTTAAATATATCTCACTAATATTTGACTTTTCTATAATGCAATATTATAATTAATTTACTTACTTTTTTTTGAATAAAAATTATTTTAAGGCATATGTAGGCGATGTAGGCGATGCTCGAATATCTTTCGATTGAGCACCTCGATCAGTTTTCCCGGGTCGTTGGGCTTGTTGCACGTTTCCTTGGCAGAAAAGTGATCCAAATACTCATCGCGCTTGCAGTAGAGACAAACGCCATTTATGAATTCCTCCTCGCAGAGCGTGGCATTGGTGGAGCGCGCCCAATCTGCATTATTGATCTGCTTGAAGAGATCTCCGATATAAATGCGAGCAGTGGAGACTGCAGAAAATGCATTGGACGCGACAGTTGTAATTGGATTGTGCTCCAGATTCAATACCAGCAAGTTCTTAAGCTTGTTGAACAGACCCCTGACATATGTATGGAGAGTATATTAAGGTAATAGCAGCAGGGTTTATTTGCGACTTACCCTTGTATTCTATCCAAATTGTTATGGGCCAAGTGAATTTCCAGCAGCATCGGCGAGTGACTGAAGAGCTCATCGGGCAGTCTGGCAATGTTGTTGCGCTCCAGGTGCAGCATTAGCAGTTGCTTCTGAGACTTGAGAAAGTCCCTGCCGAGATAACTGATGTTGCTGCGAATGCCAATGTAGGATAGATTTTCCGATTTCCAAAACAGTTCGGCCGGCACATTATCGCCGCAATTGTGCAGCTCGAAGCCGCGCAGCTTTGTCATGTGCCACAGCTCCTTGGAGCTGAGCAACGACATGTCCACGCTGCTGTTCTTAAGCGAACAGTCCAAGGAGAGTTGGAGTAGCTGCGTCTGCTTGGCAAAGATCTCGGTGCCCACGCTGGCCATATTCCTGACGACAATCGATAGCCTTTTCAGCTGCGTTAGGGGATGCAGCAAGGTGGCTGGCAAATCACTTCGGCCCTTCAGAGTGAGCTCCGTAATATCTGTGACATTCTCAAAGAAATTCGCTGGCAGCTCAGCCTTAAAGCCAATCAAAGAGATTTTCTTGAGTCCTGGATAATTGGTAAAGTGCTGCTCGAGCAGTTCGTCCCGCTCATCGCGAGCCTCAAAATAGTTGGAGATCTCCAGTTCGGTGTAGTTGGTTATGCCCAGCTTCGTAATCAGGCTGCGAATGGTTTGGGGATTCGGTATGGCACAATTGTCGATACTTAGTCGGCCAATGCGTCCGGTTTTGAGCGGTGGCAAGTAGCCAAAGCCGCGCACATCAAAAATACTGCAACTGACACTGTACAGCTGCTTGGAGCTGATCAAGGTAACCATTCCACACTTGATGCGCTGATCCTGGCACTCGCATTCGTTGTTTCCCTTCAATATGGACTCGCAACCATCTTTGGTCGTGTAAATGGCGGGCACTTCTTCAGAGACCGTTGCATTGTCCTGTATGCTAGGCAGGACCAGGGCTAGCAGCAAAATTGCAATCAACATTTTCGAGCTGCGTTCCGACATCGACTGAAGGTAGCTACAAATAAAAGGGAAGAGGTGAACTCAATTTTAGGTATTTATTATGTGTTTACCTGCCCTCTACAGGTAAGCTAGGAATTCAGAGTGAGTTAAATATGCCATGAACTTAACCCAATAATTCCTCTCTAGTCAAAATGAGCAGGCCTTGATATAGATATATAGGTGTATATTCTTACCTGGAACAGCTGCCTTATGTATATTTATTTATATGGTATTTATTTATATATATAGGAATATAGTTTAGTTAGAAGTGATGGTATGAGTTAGCTTAGCTTATATTTAATGTTTGTCAATAAATGATATTCACAAAAAGAATTCAAAATAAAATATGTAAATATCCATTTTTATGTTTATACGCCAATTTCGGAAATAACTTTAAATGCTTTCCATGTGATATAATTATATCATTTTATTGGGCTCCCTCTTCATTTTGGTTATTATCTCTTCACATTGATGTGGATTCTGTGCAAATGTGAAGTTCAATGCGCCGTTTAGTTCGCAGCACATAGGACGAAGTTTTTGTTTTTGCTTTCTGGTGCTGGGGCTGGGGCAGAGGCTGGGGCTTGGCTGTGAATATGGCTGCTTGGTATCAAAAATTACATTTCATTCTGGTTTTTGGTTTCATTACAAATGCAAAAATGCAAAATGGCAAAAGGCGGCCATTATCTTCATTCGCGTCTGTCGATCGATAATCGCTGGCAGACAATCCAGTCCAAGTTGAAATTGAAGTTGAAGACGTAGCACCGATGCTGAATCGTTCGAGGCGTTCATGCGTAAATGGCTGCCCACCTTTACGCAGTTGCACTCGCAGATCTGGCCAATGCATTTGAATTTGCAGCCGCCAGCCTTATGATCACATCAACATGCACCAATCAGCCAGCCAGGCAGTCAGAGAGCCAGTCAGCCAGCCAGCCAGACTCAAGCCACTCAGGCCACTTTCCTGCATCTCGTTCCCGCTGATGCTGCTGTGTTGGCTTGAGGCTTCGGGCTTCAGCGCGGTGGCAAACATTTTTTACGATTTTCTTTTGATGCCTTGAATCGCCGTTTCGTATTCCCAAGAGCTAAATCAATAAATTACGTGACAGGCATGCAGAAAACTTGATTACTTCAACTCCGAAACTCGTACCATCGAATGAGCCAGCTCCAGCGATCTTCGCTCTACGGTTTCCTTCATTTTGATTGAATCAATCAAAAAAATATTCATTTATATTTAAAGGCAGGACATCCATCTTGCGATCATGCACATACACATGTGCACACATACATATGCGTGTGCAACAATAAATTATTAAACGCTAGTTTATTATTGAGTTCTCTCATATATAGGCGATGCATTTGTATTGTATGTATAAAAAATACAAATTACATTCTTTGAATAATATTCGTAGTAGTAGTTTATTGATTTTCAGCTTTAGACTTAACTTTCCGCTTCTAAGTCAAAAGCCAAATTAAAAATGTATGCGAAGTTTAAAGTTTGCAGCAGCTAAGGAAAGCCATGGATGCAGTGGCCTCAAATGTGGATGAATCCCGACAAGGGAGCTGGAAGCCATGTCACTACATATTCAAGTTGATTGTGCCACAAATCTTCATTGATTTTGATTCCTTGGACTACGTTGTTAAATCGCCTTATTCGAAGAGCTTTTGCCTAGACTTGAACGGTAAACGGTCTTCACCGAGAGCAGCCCGAATGGTAAATACTTTTGTAAGAGTGCCGTACAACATGACAAGCAGCAAATAAATGGTCTTAATCCTGGCCAGACAAAGGGCTGCTCCCATAAAAGGGCAAGACCTGGACTCTGGCTTCAGCTAATAACTCACTCATACACAACGCCGCGAATGTGTCTGGCCGTCTAATGGAATAGGAATGAAAACGGGAATGGGAATGGGAATGGGCATGGGGTTGGCCTGCTGGTCTTCCATTTATGCGATTTGCATTTGATTTATTTATTGTAAATTATACGCCGCATGCAAATTGGTAGCTACACAAAATACGCGAAGGAAAGAGAAAAATTAAGTTGTTGTGCAATGGTTTTCCAAGAAAGTTTTTCCAGTTGCGCTAAAATTGCCCCAAAGGGCTTTTCCGTTGCTCAAATAATAATTCGCTTCAAATTCGAATACGCACGTTTCATAACAAAAATAATATACCAGCTAGCACAAGCCCAAGACACAAGAAGGCATCCAATACATATTGGATTGCCTGCAGCGCCCACGCAATGAGAAAGCGTCTCTGGCAAACCCTTTGCCCAGGGGCCACGAGCGTATCCCTCTCGCTTAGCCACGGCGTCCCCTTGGTGGCAAATCAAATAGACGCATGAAATTTAATAGTACGTACAATTTTTGACATTTGCCTTTGAAAACAAATGGAAACGAAAACGAAGAGGAAAATGGGAATGGGAAGGAGAATGAGAATGGAAATGGAAATGGTAATGGGCAATAGGTAATAGGTAATGTTAATGGCAACACGAACTGGGACAACGCCCACACCGCTCTGCTCTGGGTGTTGGGATTGTTTAGTGCGTGGCATGGTAGTTTTTTTTATTTCTATTCGGCTTATTTCTAGGTTTCCGTCTATTTATTTATTTTAATTAAAGCGGACACGTGTTGCTGTTTTCTTGTTTTCATTGGCCCGGGCAACTTATAGACAAGCATCAAAATGATATCATTGCGAGAGCAAGTGGAGGAAATTCTAGCAACTGTAGCAAGGAGCCTTTTAACTTTTAACTTGGCTGTGTAAGCAGATACCTTTGTGAATATTCAAATGAGCTGACGACAAATTTGAAGAATATCCTATATCGATCGAATGGGAATTCAGGGACAGGCTCAATAGATGGGATAAGTTCATAATATATTTGTTTGATCTAAACATTTTATTTTTAATAATATTATTAATTTGTTATAGTTTCCATTATTATTCCGTTTTTATTGGTAAATCATATCTTTGCAGCAATATGGACTCGATTTTGCGCTCCTTGGTTACGTTGCATGCACCCATGACAGTTGCTATCGTCTGGGCATACAGAAATGGGCGTGGCCATTCATATTGCACAGCCTTCAACAGCAAATTTGCATAGTGGCTCCTTGCAGAAGCTGCAGCTCGGCCAGCACAAAATGCCCCTGAGTGGTATTTGCAAAAACTTGAACTGCTATGGCTATGGGTATGTGTATGGATACCTAAATCATGATCGTGTCTACAAAGCGGATAAGTTCTTTTGTTGTTTTTGTTTTTAACAGGCAAAGACTGGCTGCTTATCGCCTTAAAATAAAAAGAAGCTGCAGCTGAAGCCGAAGCCAAAGCCGATGCCGTTGCCGTAGCCGTAGCCGTAACCGTAGCCAGTAGCTAGCCGGGCATCAGAAGTCCGAAATTAGCACAGACAGTTTGCTGCTGTTCAATGTCTATGGCTGATTGTTGTTGCCTTTGCCGTTGCCGTTGCGGTTGCTGTTTAATGATTTCATGGACTCGCAGCTATTTTTAAAGTGCGTCGCAAATTATAGAAATCGCTACTGAGCGGGGTACACTCGCATAGCCTGAGAAGCTGACTTGAACGGCATTAATTTTATGTAATTAATGGAAATTATGAGTGGAACATTGAAATTCCTTGTGAACATCGCCCAGGACAACCGAAGCTACAGTCGCGCAACAGAATTGCCAACTTTTTAAGTGGGTAGGGCAGGGCAGGGTAGGGGGGTTCGGCCTGGGTGGGTCCTGCTCAGCGAATTTCCATCATTCCACATAGCTTGCCAAATGAAAGAAAATTAAATTTTTCACTGTCTGCTTAATTGAAACATTAGCCAAAAACATTTTATCTACTCTGTCCCAGTTATGTTCTCTGTTGTATGTTTCTGTGCTCTCTGCTTTGCCCTCTCTGTGTTCATTTACATTCAAATTAACTCGTAATGAAAACGAGTTCACAAACTTTGACTTTGGGGGGTTGCGGCATTTAATTAGTTGTTCTGATTGTTCTTGTTGTTGTTGCTGTTGTTGTTGTTTCTTACTGATGTTTGCTGGCCATTTCTTTTAGCTTAGTCTGTTCAATTATCCACGCACAATGTGCCGCCCCAGCGTCGTAGAGAGCTTTATGTTCTGTTTGCTTTGACACTATCAAGGCTCATTTGCTCAATTTATTGCAAGCAACATACTTTCCTTTATAAGCAAACAAAGCCATTTACGACTAGTTAAAAATCATTCAAAACGTAAATTGAATTAACAGCTGAATTGGACTTTTCACCACTTAGAGACATACCAATTTTTTGGTATCCCTTGCTCGACATCGAAAAAATGTGTATATTTGCCTGTAGACTTTTTTTGTTGCTACTTATTGTACCAAACACTCGAATCTAGGGCCATCATTGCTGGCCCACCATGAATATGTATAGGACGGCGTTTTTTTGCATACACAGCATAAACTGCAATCAAAGTCTGCGGCATCATCTATGGCAGCTCAACTCAGAGCAGAGCAGAGCAGGGCAGGGCAGGGCAGGCGAGGCGAGGGCAGGCATATATACCCACTTCCAGTCATTTTGGCACTTCAAATTGGCAAACAAACAAGCTCACGTTCAAATGAAATGTGAGCATAAACAGACATTTTTCACACAGCGCCCGTCACACCGTTCACATTTGCGAAGGTAAACAACTTGAATGCGTCCTGGCGGAGACGAGGAATCAGAATTAGGGGAAGCATTGCTCATACGGCGACAGCAGCAGTAAGGAGTGCAAAATAAAAGCGAGACGGAGAGCAAAGCCAAAGAAATGGAACGTTGGCAGGGGGTTGCCTCTGTGGCTGGGAGCAATTCACTTGACACGCAAATGTGCATAAACAAGGCATGAATATTCATGCACAGATATACAGATATGTATACATATGTATGTACATATGTATGTTTAGTCACTTTCTGTGGGTGCAACATGAAAGGGTCTGTGATATCTCGACTTAGAGATGAAATGCAATGCGCATAGAAAAATTTGTTCGCAAATGTTTGCACATCTGGTTTACGCAGCGT